TTATTCAGCCATAAGAAAACAAATCATACCATTTGCAACAACATGGATGGAGCTAGAGGGTATTATGCTCAGTGAAATAAGCCAAGTGGAGAAAGACAAGTACCAAATGACTTCACTCATGTGTGGAGTATAAGAACAAAGAAAAAACTGAAGGAACAAAACAGCAGCAGAATCACAGAACCCAAGAATGGACTAACAGTTACCAAAGGGAAAGGGACTGGGCCGGAGGGGTGGGAAGGGAGGGAGGATAAGGGCAAGGAAAAAGAAAGAGGGCATTATGATTAGCATGTATAGTGCATGGGGGGCACGGGGAGGGCTGTGCAACACAGAGAAGACAAGTAGTGATTCTACACCATCTTACTACGCTGATGGACAGTGACTGTAATGGGGTTTGGGGGAGGGGTCTTGGTGGTGGGTGGAGTCTAGTAAACATAATGTTCCTCATGTAATTGTAGATTAATGACACCAAAATTTTTTTAAAAAAGGGAATCATTACTAGTATGTGTAGCAATATGGATACATCTCAAAATACTCATGCTGAGCTTAAAACGCCAGAACAGAATACTCCTGCCCCACAAAAGAGTATATACTGTACCATATCATTTGTATAAAATTCTAGAAAATGCAAACTAATCTATGATGAGAGCAAATTGGGTTTGGGTGAAGAGTTGGAAAAGAGAATTCCAAAGGGGCACCATGAACCTTTTAGAGGTGATTAAGTATGTTCATTATCTTGAAGTTGATGATGGTTTCATGAGTGTATACTTGTGTCAAATTAAATTACATACTTTAAATTAAAAAAAAACTCAGGGGGATGAACAATCTGAAAAGGAAATTAAGTAACAATTTCATTTACAGTAACGTAAAAAGAAAAAAAATACCTACAGATAAACTTAACCACGAGGAAAAAGATGTTTATACTGAAAACTATAAGATGTGTTGAAAGAAATTAGACACAAATAAATGGAAAGACACCCCATGTGCATAGACTGTAAGAATTAATATTGTCAGTACTACCCAATGTGATCTACAAATGGAATGCAATCCCTAGCAAAGTCCCAATAGCATTTTTTGCAGAAACAGAAAAATCCACCGAAAAATTTATATAGAATCTCAAGGGGCCATGAATAGCCAAAACAATCTTTAACAAAGTTTGAGGTCTCACATTTCCTGATTTCAAAACTTATTACAAAGCTATAGTAATCAAAACTGTGGTACTGGCACTAACATAGACACAAAGACCAGTGGAACAGTCCAGAAATAAACTTTAGCATGTCAAATGATTTTCAATTAAGAGTACACTCATGGGGAAAGGACAGTCTTCACAGAAAATGTTGTTAGAAAACTGGATATCCTCTGTGAGGAAAATTTAAGTTCCTATTGCCAGGATCCTCATCTGAACCTAAACTACTTGATGCTGTAACTTGCCTGCTGCTAAAGCTACTGCTTCCACACTAGCAATAAGCTATTATTGACTGAGTCACTATATAAAGTTTAGCCCAGTTCTCTGGGCAGAGGCGGAGACAAGGAGGATTACAGACCTGCAGACTGTTGAATGCAGACATGATTCTAGTGCTTGACCTATTGCTGAGAACAAGCTGGGTAATAAACCCTTTTACCATAGGAATGTTCCATTGTCATTCCTTGGTCTCACTGAATCCACGGTGAACTTGTCCTGGGCTGAAACCCACTGGCAAGACAACTGGAGACATCTGTCAGGATTCACTGACCAAGGAACAGAACAGGCTGCCCTTATGGGAGGGGTGCTTCAGCAGGCCACACCTACGGATGGGGAGACATTTGAGTGTTCCCCAGTGGACATGTGGTCTGAGGTCTCCTGCCTCTTAGAAGATTGCACCCCACACCAAGACTGGGAAGGGATGGAGGTGACACCTGAGGCAGTGAAACTGGCCCTCAGCAAAATATAGAATTCCTTAAAGAAACAGAGTGCCTGTGAGGCAGTGGGAATGGTGGGGAGTTTTTTTCTCACAATATTGAGAAAAGCTGTAAGGGAGAAAGACATTGTCCTGGAGGAAGCACGAGAAGAGGCAGCAAGAGAACATGAGCTGTGAGGTGCCACTGAGGAGGTAAAAAAAATTTGTTGATGACTGAAATGGCATCACTACCAGGTGCTATGGAAATGGTAAAGGTATGGTATACTAGACCTGGACAAGACTCCCTTCCTGCCACAGTCCTCTCACAGGACCACTCTCTTGCTTGCATCCTACCTGATGGACAAGATTTGCCTATGTTGGTGTCTTTAAAACATGTATCTTATCACCCTTAAAGTCTTTGTGGATTGGGTACACACTAGCAAAAAAACTGCTACTCAGTGGAGTGCATGGAGCTTCCTATCAGTACCACTACTAAGTCTGAGTCATGAACTCACCTGAGTAGAACTCGTTTTGAATATAGCTGGAATAATCTCCTCAGGCTTAAAGATTATTATAACTTTTGTTATCTGTATCAAAATTTTATTGCATAATGATTTTTGTTATTACCTCTATGTTGTTGTTATCCTCTGTTGCTGTTGTGGAATCTGTTTACAATACTCCAGCTTTCTCGCATAAGGACCATCGTGGAATATTGAGAGCAGTAGTCTGTGAGAAGAGAATCCTGGAGTGGTGGGGTGTGGGGAAAATTGAAGGTTCCTACCACCAGGATTCTCACCTGGCTCTGGTCAGTTTGCTCACACACACATGTGGGCAATACGTTGTTACTGACTCTATATGAAAAGCTCTGCTCAATGCTCTGGGCTGCTGCACGGCAGCAGGGCTGCAAGGCTGCAGGAGAGCAGAGACTGGAGTGGTGGCAGCACAGAGGACAGAGACTGAGGTAGCTGTGGGGGCAGACAGGCCCAGAGGCAGAGACTGGTTTGCTGTACACAAACTAGCTGTGAGTGGATGGGATTATAGTTATTGACCTGCCACCATGGGAATAAAGTTGGGTATAAACCCTTTCACCCCAAGAACATTCCATTGTCATTCCTGGGTCTCAATGAATCCATAGTGAACTTGCCCAGGGCTGAAACCCATTGGCAAGACAGAGGTTAATATCCAAAATACATAAAGAACTGATACAACTCAACACCATCACCAGAAAAATGGCAAAGAATAGACACTTCTCTAAAGAAGGCACACAAATGAGCAGTAAGCACATGAAGATGCTCAACATCACTAGGAAATGTAAATCAAAACGACAACGAGATATCACTTCACATCCATTAGAATGACTGGGGTTTTTTAAATGAAAAACAAAAACAAAAACAAAAACAAAAACAAAAACAAAAACAAAAACAAAAACAAAATAAGTGTTGGCAAGGATGTGGAGAAACAATCTCTGCACTGCTGATGGGAATGTAAAATGGTATAGCTACTGTGGAAAACAGTATGGCCAGGCCTCAAAAAATTAGTAATAAAAATACCATACAATCCAGTAACCCCATTTCTGAGTATAGACCCAAAAGAACTGAAAGCAGGATCTCAGATATTTGTACACCCACATTCACAATAGCCAAAAGGTGGAAGCAACCCAAATTCCTTGATGGATGAATGGATAAACAAAATGTGGTATTTATATACAACAGAATATTATTCAGCCATAAAAAGGAAATTCTGACACTGCTACAATATGCAGGAACCTGGAGGACATTATGCTGAATAAAATAAGCCAGACACAGAAGAACGAATATTTCACTTATATGATTCCATTTATATGAGGTACTAGAGTAGTCATAGAAAAAAGGGTGGTTGCCAAATGCTGGCGAGAGGCAGAATGGAAAGTTATTGTTTAATGGGTATGGAGTTTCAGTTTGTAATGAGAAGTTCTGGAGATGCATGGTGGTGACAGTTTCATGACAATGTGAATGTATTCAATTCATTCTGAACTTCACATCTAAACATGGTTAAAATGGTACATTCTTAAAAAATGGGTGGCATAGCTTCAAGTTGTTCTGTACTGGTATGCTGCTGGTATGATAATAAACAGCAAGGTAGACGCCAAGTTTGAAAACAAACTATACAAAAACCAGATACTCCTTGTTTGCATTAGTGGCAGAGAGACTCAAGATAATTATTTCTAATTACTCACATCCATTAGAAAGCTACTTTCTTTTTTTCATCAAGGATTTACTGAGTACATAGGAGGTGCGGGCTAGGAACTAGGAATACAACATTGTGCTGTTGCTAAACACACATACACTCAGAGCCCAAGAAGCCAAGTGCTCCTACACAGACAAATCAGGTGATACACATAAAGTTTAGTATTATATGATGTACTGAAAAACTTCAAGCTGGAACCAGAATGTTCATCTTTGCGATCCTGACATTTTGCATTGCTAATGCCATAATTCTTCTTTACAGTAGCTACTTATGGTGCTTTCCCCAACTTCAGAATGAAAAAGTTCTGAGGAAGGAAAAAAGAAGAAAAAAAAATTTTTACTCTGTGGGTTATAAATTAAACCTGAGATAGCAACTCTCCTGGGAAAGTGTATGAAATTCAAAAAGGCTATGGTATTTAAGTTCTTCAAAAAAATTATATATCATGTTTTCGGACATCAAACTGATTTAAAATTTTCTCACCCTTTCTTTCTTTACGGACATTCATACTCACCCTCTTCCTCTCTAGCATCTCCAATCTTTTGCCTTCTACTTGTTCCTTTCTCTTTACCTTTCAGCTAAAATAGATTTCCTTAATCTCAAAAAACTTTAATTGGGAAGTCTTCCCTTTAAGGTTATATCTTTCCTCTTATCTCTATGAAACTTCAGAAACAGACTAAAATAGTCTCAAATAGTCCAAGTCTGGGTTCTATAAAAGAAGTTCTATTTCTGTTTTATCAAAAACCATGCTCTTACGGGTAAGATTCCTCAAGGGAGGAATAACCTAAGACAGGCACAGTCGCAAGGGGGCCATCAGGTGAGAAATTGGGGATCAACAGAGGTGAGGCTTAGAACCTCTCCCCCCCTATTCTGAGAGAAATCTTCTGCATCCATGGATGTTTTATTGCCCTTGTCTAGCTTGGATTAACACATAGTCTACAGGCACACACCTGATCATCTACATCTGCTCTCTTACAACACTAAACTATGTTTTCTACCTTTATCTCGCATCTACCTACCACTTCAGCATTTTATTAAAAATAATAATAAAGAGAAATGTGGTATCCACATATAAATCAAGTATAAAAATCAAATGAATATTCATATTTGAACTGACTGTTTATAGCTCATAATGCATGATCAAAACCGAAAGTTTCTGTGATGACTGCCCTTCTACTGTTCACCGTGTAACTTATTCACTATGTAAGAATTTGTTCTCCATGTAAGAACTTGTTCGTTATGCTTCAGAAGATTGGAGACTGATGAAAATTAGGCTTGGGGTGGATTAATGATTATACATTGAGCATTGAGTCCCCTATACAGAATTTTATTGTTGTTAACCATTTGATCAATAAATAGGAGAGATGCCCTCACAGACACACACACAAAAAGTACACACTTCCAATTGTAAAATAAATAAGTAACCGGGATGTAATGTATAGCATAAGGAATATAGTCAAAATATTGTAACAACTTGGTATGGTGATAGCTGGTACCTAGAATTATCATGTATATAAATGTTGAATCACTGTGTTGTACACCTGAAACTAATGTAATACTGTGTGTCAACTACCCTTCAATAAAAAATAATTATCTAAAAAAAAAAAACCATGCTCTTTTCTCAGTCACTAACCTTAAATGACATTCTATTTACCCTAGTGATTACTACCACCTCCTCTCATATTTCGCTTTCCTTGGCTCCCACAACTAAAATTTCCATTGTTGGCTTCCACAATTAAATTCTTCTAAATCTTCTTTTAACTCTCAACCACTCTTTCTCTTCCCTGTAATTCCCTCAAAAAAGCCTCCTTTGAACCCTCAATTGTGAGTATTCCTCAGTCCCTGAAATCACATTCTTCTACTTACACATTCTTTAAGAGAGCTCCACTATTTTTCATACTTCCAATTATACCTCTTTAAGCTAGACAGCTAAAATTTAGATTCAGTTTAAGATTTCGTTCCAAAGTAAGGGAAACAAAAGCAAAAATGAACAAGTGAAAAGCTTTTGTACAGCAAAGGACACCATCAGTAGAACAAAAAGACATCCTACAGTATGGGAGAATATATTAATAAACGTCACATCCTATAAAGGGTTGACACCCAAAATATATAAAGAGATCACGCACCTCAACAAACAAAAAGCAAATAAGCCAATTAAAAAATGGGTAGGGGAGCTGAACAGACACTTCTCCAAAGAAGAGATTCAGATGGCCAACAGACACATGAAAAGATGCTCCACATCGCTAGTCATCAGAGAAATGCAAATAAAACCACAATGAGATATCACCTCACACCAGTTAGGATGGCCAACATACAAAAGACAAACAACAACAAATGTTGGCGAGGATGTGGAGAAAGGGGAATCCTCCTACACTGCTGGTGGGAATGTAAATTAGTTCAACCATTGTGGAAAGCAGTATGGAGGTTCCTCAAAAAACTCAAAACAGAAATACCATTTGACCCAGGAATTTCACTCCTAGGAATTTACAATAAGAATGCAGCAGCCCAGTTTGAAAAAGACATATGCACCCTATGTTTATCACAGCACTATTTACAATAGCCAATAAATGGAAGCAACCTAAGTGTCCATCAGTAGCTGAATGGATAAAGAAGATGTGGTACATATAAACAATGGAATATTATTCAGCCATTAAGAAGAAAACAAATTCTACCATTTATAACAACATGGATGGAGCTAGAGGGTATTATGCTCAGTGAAATAAGCCAGGCGGAAAAAGACAAGTATCAAATGATTTCACTTATCTGTGGAGCAGAAGAACAGAGAAAAAAAACTGAAGGAACAAAACAGCAGCAGACTCACAGAACCCAAAAATGGACTAACAGCTACCACAGGGAAAGGGACTGGGGAGGATGGGTGGGAAGGGAGGGATAGGAGGGTAAAAAGGGGCATTACTATTAGCAGACATAATGTAGGGGCAGGACATGAAGAGGGCAGTATAACACAGAGAAGACAAGTAGTGATTCTATAGCATCTTACTATGCTGATGGACAGTGACTGTAATGGGGTATGTTGGGGGGACTTGATGGGGGGAGTCTAATAAACATAATGTTGCTAATAAAATTGTAGATTAATGATACCAAAATAAAGTAAATAAATAAATAAATAAAAGATTTAGTTCCAAAGTTATATCCTTTCACTGGAAATTGCTTGAACTTTCTGACTGTCATTTAAAATTCAACACTGGCTAAGAGTTATCTATTTTTGGAGGGAGCTTAACAGACTTTGACTTCTCTATTTTATTGTTCTTTCCACTCAATCATTATCTTCTCAGTAAAACATTTCCCAACTCTCTAATTAGCCAAATGTCCACATATTTCTTTCATAGAACTGACCACAGCTATAATTTTCCATTTATTGTGTGATTCCTAAATGGCTACCTCCTCCAATAAACGGTAAGCTTCCTGAGCAAGAATGGAGCCTTTTAAGGACAGGAAGGTAGGGGTATGACAATCACATTCCCAGCACCTATCATTAAGTTTTGGACATGTGGTAAATAATTTTTACCCAAAATCTGTCAAACGAATAAACAAAACCACTCTACTTTTTCCTAGGTAATTGAGGGATTTCCATTAATCACACTTCCATCTCCATTGCTACTAGTCCATGATAATACAGGTCCTTACTTCATGGTTTAATTACAAAAATAGCTTATTCAATGAGCTCCTTCAGATTTTTCTTACTTCAATCCACACTGCTACAAGAATAATTTCCTCAACTATTTTACTATGCTATACTCTCACCCAATAATCTTCAAGTGACTTTCTATTTCCCTCAAAAACAAAGCTAAACTAATGCAGACATTTCACTGAGGAGCTCAATTTGCTAAGAGAATTGTCAGCTGCTCAGGGCAGTCCTTCCCACTGGTGATGGCTTTGAAAAACACTGACTCGATTCTTCTCTTTGACTCTCTCTTATTCTAAGTTCCTTTCAGACCACCACCAGTAAAATTACCTTGGAGATGTTACTATTAATTGCATCACAACCACCTAACATCAATTAGCCAAGTTTGTTGGCAAATACATTTACAAACTATCTCTTAAAATATATTTCTTACAAGATATTAGTATTATTTATTACATTCTCAATTATAATTTCAGACAGTCAGTATAATTAAGTGGCTTAGTTTCTCTTCATTATTTAAGTCCAATAATTTAAACAGAGTTTTCTAAAGTATAATGTTTTTTCCCCAGATGGATTATTCCTATCATTTACAGCAAGGGCCACAGAAAAAGAAATATAACAGTCTTTTAGAAGATTCGTTATTTTCAAAACACTTATAACATTTCTAAGTGATTTAATACCATGCCTGAAATAATTTTATATATGTTTCAATACAAAGACCTCTGTGAACTGAAAAACCCACATTATTAAAGGCACAATACCTCTGGATTGAAAAAGAATAGAAAAGTGGGCAAGGCAGGCCGGTATCACACCAAGCAACAACTCCTAAATATGACCCAAGAATCCTGCAGGGAGGAGAAGAGTATCAAATAGCCTTGCTAAATTTAGCACTTACAGGGAATTAAATGGACCTCAGTTGATGGTTAAATACAATTTTTTAAAAAATCAGCAACACTTCTTTAACTAAATAACCCTGTCCTCACACCCTATCCAAACTCAAGAAAAGATAATGAGAATTTTACTGTAAAAATTTTAAAAGGATTCCAGTTTGGTTTTTCAAAAGCAACTAAATAAGCAAAACCCTAACTGTTCTGTTTTACCTCCAATATTATAGTAAATCCAGAGATATCAGGCAATTTGCCCAAAATTTACACAAAGGAGAAAGGGTAAAGGAATGATATAGTGGCATAAACACAGAAACTATTTTAAAATGGTATTGAAAAATAACCCTGGATAAAAGCTTAAAGCAAACAAAGACAGTGGTTAAGGCCCTCAAACTAAGCCAAATGGTGAAAGTGCATCATAGCAAGAGGTCTCTGTTATTAAGTTTACATTAACATAAAAGGCAGCCTGAGAGATTAAAGATGGTGGCATGAAAGGTGAGACAGAGAACTCCTCCCAAAACCACATATAATATGAAAATACAGTTAATGCAACTCACTAATCCTAAAAAAGAAACAGGAAAGAAGGCTCAGCCAGACTGCATAATCCAGGACAATACAGCAGACCTCACAAAAAAGATTTACCTACCAAAGCCTTAATCAGGCGGAACCAAAGCCCTTCCCCCACCCCAGCTCACCAGAAGCAGGAGGAAGAGAAATGAAGCAGGAAGGGTTGGAAGCCTAGGACTGCTGAACAGCCAGCCCTGGAGATCTGCTTTGGGA